TCGTAATGTTTCACTCTTTTCGTTTTCCTTGCTCTCCTATTTGGACACTGTTTTGTTTAGTAAATCTCTTACCTGAGTTTTTCTGTGACGGCAACGGCTGCAGAAAGTGAAAGGACTCCGTCAAGGCCGCGCTGCGGTGGTGGAGACTGCAGTTTATTTCCATGGTCCGTAACCGACCTGAAAACTCATTTTAAAATAGAACGTGGATTTAGTCAGTGAAGTGATTTAGTGTGAGCTTCTTTTTGTTTTATGATGCAGTTTTTATCAAACCGTCGGTATGTGAACCTGGTGTAAGTAGATTGAAAACCCAACCAACGCAGGTCCATTAGTGGGTTAGACTGCATGTAGAGACTGACAGGTATTTGTGAAACTTGACACGGTTGCTGTTTAAGTCTCTAAAGTGCTCTAAGTGCTGTACGTTCTGTTTGCAAATTGCGTTACCAAAATGGTCTCCTGCAAGGCCCAGGAAAGTGGCTGTGCTACCAGAAGAGGTTTCGAGATTAAAAGTGAAAGAACTAAAAAAAAAATTCTGAAAGTCGGCCTTTTGTTTTTGAGTTGTCTTTTTGTCTTCTGCTCTCTGATTGCCACCTGTCTTTTACTGATTTATTTTTGTTTGCTGTATTTTTCAAACAGTTTTGTCTTGTTCTACTTACACTACATGGGTTTTAATGTGAAGAAAGTAATTCATTCACAACTTAAGTGTTGTCTATGAAGTGTGTCGCCTTTGTGATGTGGCCCTGTTTTCTTTATCCCCGGTTTAATGGGAGGAAGTTTTATTAATGATCTGATTGTACATTTTTCTCGAATTTAAGTTTAATTGTTCCAAGAATTAAAAACAATAAGTATCCTCATTGACAGATTAGCCACTCTAGATTTTAATGGTGCATAATTGAAATAAGCAGGAAACCGATTCTATATAGAGCAGGGCATTCTGGGTAAATACAACCAAAACAAATGTGCAAGTCTAGTGTTAGTGTTAAAAATGGCTTGTAGTTTATTTTTTCCAAAGAAAAAAGGAAGTTGCGTACAGTGTCGTCTTCAGAAGTTTTCTAGTCGTTTCCTTCAGTGGTTCTTGATGCAGCGCCACCACAGGCGAGTTGGTGAACAAGTTCTTCACAAGGTTTGGTTCGTTTGACACATTGCAGTGTGAAAGCTAACTTCACCATTTGAAAGTGGAACAAATGATGCAATTTTGTTCCCCAATCAAATAAAGTCTACCAGACTATCAAATGTGAGAATACCTGAATTATTATGGGTTTTCCAGGGACATCGTATAGCCATCCATGTAACTATTTTAACTTCAGTTGGTAAAAATATGCTACATATATCAAATATGACTTAAAAGAAATTTGACTTTGTAATTTAATGCCTTGAATTTGGGCCTCTGCTGTTTTAAAAACTCCTGCTCTTTCTGAAACTCCACCTTCAGGAAGTCATCACATCATCACAACATGGCTCCTCTGTTAACCCTTTAACAACGTTTTTATCGGTGTTGCACTGAGAAGCAGCTCCTATAATGAGCTCAGGGATGTGCTGGTCCACCAAGTGATTGCTAATTGCTGGAGCTAGTCTGTAGGAGCTGAGTGTGGGGAGTCGCGAGGGAAAGCTGCTCTGGGAAGCAGAAGTTTGGAAACTGTTCCACCCAGGTGTTCTGCACAGCTGAACGGTTGCCACGGGAGATTAAAGGATTTCTCAAACATGTATGAAAGAATCAAAGCAACACTCCAGATATGTTTTGATGAGGGACTAGTATAACATAATGTAGAGCTCAAAAAAGTTAGTTTTACATAGTACTGGCCGTTCCTTGACCTTTCTATACCATTCTGGTGCTTGTTGTGAACGTCGAGTTGTTTTTACCATGTATAGATTGAATTTCTGACATGTGATTGCCTCATTCTCTGTGTTAACAAGCAATAGGAAGGTGGACTTAATAATTTTGCTGAGTGTATTTCTACACATAAAAACATAATACAAATCCTCACGTTGCTCAGCTGATCACTAGGGATTAATACGCATTCATAGACAATGGTTAGTGCCACTGCACCACCCTGGGGTCAGCTTGTCGGCATAGCCTCAACCATTGCCCTCCAGCACCATGTTTCCATTCGGTACAACAATCCTAAACTGAATCACTGGCTAGCGCCATGCACACACACACACGCAGTGAAGACTGCTTTCACCTTTCAGGTCCAGACGTGTTCACAAGGTGGTGAAAAGGGAAAGTGGGTTACAAGGTGGACGGCTGGAAGCCACAGAACTGAGGCATACTTGGGAAAAGTAACAAATACAGGTTGCTAGGACACCGAGGAGAAAGTTGTTGCTGTTTCTTTATTCTTTCACATGCTTCTCGGGGACCGACTGGGTATGTAGTCAGTCCTCGCCTCTATTTCACAGTTTAGGCAAGGAAATTGTTCACATTTGACAGTTTCAAGCCTCCCTATTAGCTGGAAGTGTTATTAAAATGATGATTGCGACCACACGTTTAGTAAAACAGACTCGGGAGAAATAAAACATTAACGGTTCCTTAAAAGTGCGGAGTCCATGACTCTGTCCAGTTTGTCATCTATTTATCTAATGACTCCTTCACAGTTTAGACAGAGAGGTAGATTCTGTCCATTTCTGTATGCCTAAAAAAGCACAGTGCTGTCATAACCCTAATCACCTAACTGCCCTGCCCTGCCTCATTAGAAAACAAGCCTAACTGGAAAATCGCCTTAAGTGGCCCAAATTAATGAAAGCTTCACGTCTGGTGCTGAGTCATCTAAAGGCTCGAGTCTGTGCGACGTCACCACAAAGGAAATGGTTGCTCCATAAACTGTCAGTGGTCATTTGAGTAGCCATGTAGAGACTGACACTTACCCTGTGTGCATCACTACAGGTCAAGGTTTTCACTACGGTGCTGCGTGAGCATTGAGTTGACCCTTCCTTTGTCATGCTTGGGAGAACAGTAAAATTAACGTGTTTACATTTGAAATACTTGGCTTTTCGTCTACTTTCGCCAACAGATTGATGCTGGCCAGCTGGCTCATGAGGGCTGGGCTATTATTTAAGACTTCAGAGGTTTTTTGCTCTTCTACGTTGTGCTGGCATTTTGTTTTGGTGGTCAGTCTTGATTTAGAATTCTGACAATATCTGTATTTCATACCTTCCCATGGGTGATTGGGTGTTAGCAGTCATGTTTTAACATTCATGTTGGTCAGCAGGGGCTTTGACCCATCCCACCATGACGCTTGTAAACTCTCCGGTATCTCTGGTCTTGTGGATACAGTCAATCAGCACAAAGGAAAAATAAGTGGCGGTTCTAGATTGGCTGCCTTGCAAACTCCAGCCAATCGGATGTGAAGTAGCATTGCACAGAGATATTTCATCTTCCAAAGCTGCAATCTTTTGAGTATCTTAGGTATGATGTATTAAACAATTTGCAATAGCAGCTTTTCTGCATATTCTGGAATCTGTATTTTCACAGAAGTCCCTTGTGGTTTTAACAATGTGAAAAAGTTGAAGAGGTACAAGTAACCTTGGCAACCAGTGTAAATAAAGAATAAATACATAAAAATAATGTCAAGACACGAAATGATAAGGACAGTTATTTTAAGATATTTGCCAATGTTAATGTATGATATGAGTTTATGACAGTATATTATTGATATGTTTCACATGGCACCTTATAAATGCTGTTTGTTTTTTTAATTGGTGGCTTTCTGATTAAAAGATAAAAGTTCAAGACTGAATTCTGGAGACGATTCAGAAAAGTCATTTTCTCTGTAATGAAGAAGATTTCCCTTCTTACCTCCCTCTGTGTGTCCATCCAGTCTGGCCACGGCTCCGACTCCCCAGGCCAAAGACTGAGGTTGGGATGATGAGTTTGGCAAAATAAGGAATCAGTAACACAAATAATTTCTCTATCAACACTTCAGTCTCCCACAGAGAAACTGCAGTGAGACGAGAAGTGAACGGTAAATGCTTTCAAAAGATGAGAGACAGATGGTTGGACTGCTGGAAGGAAAAAAAACAACTTACTACCATTCAATTATATTTTTATGCTTTAAATGAATGTTTTTTCTGAAGTGGTTTCAGGTGTTCACAGATTTCAGCTGATCATGTTGGTCCCTAACTCTTGTGAATACTAAGAGTCCACCGTCCTCAAACCTGGACTGAGTTATGGTTTGATTATAAATTCTTTGTAAAAAAAAAAAAAAAATGATTTGTGAAACTGTAATTCTATTCACATAAGCAGAAAAGTGGGGATTTCTAATTTTCTCCCAATTTAGCTAACTTCCTGCCTTGTTCTTACAAACCCATGATCATGTCTCATCTGGTCTCATGAGAGGAATCTATTTTCACATATTAGTTTGAAAGAATCCACATAAAATATATAACAATGCAATGACTTAAGGGTTTGTAGCTCCTGTCTTGGTTGTTTGTTGACCATTGTGTAGCTTTATCATTTTATGATTAAGTCTGATTGTTTTTTTTTTTTTTGCTTTTTTTTTCATATTTCTCAATCATTTCAAAAATATTTCAGCCAAACTCTTATTGTGACACATTATTTTGTCAGTAACGTCCGTCTCTCTCGTGTCTGCAGGTTGTTGGTTCATGTCTTCATGCTGGGCAGCTGGACGGTGCTGCTGGTGGAAGCCGTCCTGACTGGCGCCGTCTCTCTCTGCTCACTGATCCTGTTTGTCACTCTGGTTCACAGCAACTGAAGAAAAAGCAGCAGGCCGTAAAGCTGCGTTATGGACCATCGATAATGAAAACAATAATGAATAGAAAACAAATCTGCCTTCTAACTATTTATTCTGATATTTTGTTTTGGCATTTGAATAATCAGAATCTCGTCTCCAGCCAGGCACCAGAAACCTTACTGTCCGTTTTGAGAGTCATTGATGTTTTGACAGGAGAGTGGAGGAGCTGAGGAAACAGAACAAATTTTAGAAACACAGAGACAAACACAAGTCATTAAATACTGAAACTTTGTTGAGATGTCTGAGCAGCTTTACCTGTTACATCCAGAGTAATGGCGTCAGGTGAGGTCCATTTCCCCAGCGGTTGGTCTGTCTCAAACCTGAAGTGATACTGGCCCAGCTTTACACCCTGAGTCTGAACTGAACAGCTGGAACAGCTTCCCCCGGCGTAGCTAGAATGCAGGCAGCATGTCAGTAACGTAATTTTACTGTAACAATAACAGCACTTGCAGTTCTTCTCACCACGGTGAGACGGGTTGATCTGGTTGGGGTCAGTGTGGTGAGCAAACTCCCTGTGACCCTCAACAGAAACACGGACCCACATAACGCGCCTCACATTGTGACCTGGGGAGTTTTACACAATGTGGTTGTTCACTGAAACATATCCTGAAACTATAAACAACAACATATTTTACTGATGCTTTATGAGATTCACTGACACAACAAACTATTAGTGTGAAGTGGGGGAGGGGAATCAAACTTTTCAGATTTCTTATACTAC